CTCCTCAAAGCCGAGCTCGCGCAGGTGGCGGATCACAAGGCCGGCGTTGGCGACTGTGCCGCGCACCATCAACTGCAGGGCGCGTGCGCATGCGTGCGAGCAAAGGCCAAAAAATGGGCAGATGGACCGCAGCGGGTGGTGCACAGGTAGCAGGGCCAGAGGGGTGGCGCCAGCGGCCGTCACTCGGCTGCCTCAATTGTGAAAACAAGGCGGGGCAAGAGGCTGTCGCAAATGAGCTTGCTGGGTCGCAAGCCGTGCGCCCCGGAACAGTGCGTCCTGCGACCCGCGCTGATGTGAGCCCGCACCTCCGGGCACTGAGTGATCATCGCCTTCTGCTCCGCGCGGCTGAAGCTCATGGCGTCGAAAAAGCCACACCAGGACGCGAGCGGCGCCACGAGGAGCGCGGGCTGCGCCTGCAAGAGCCTCCCGGCCTCGTGCGGCGTGAGAACGCATAGCAGCGCGTCCAGGCCGGCCGCCAGCTCGCCGCACGCGGCGCGCGGGTCGCGCGCAGCTGCGTCCGCCCAGGGGGCCGCGACGGAGGGCCAGAGGCGCTCGAAGGCTGAGGGAGGGAGGGCGAGCTTCTCAGCGAGCAGCTGCTGCAGCGGCTCGGGGTCTGGCAGGGGGCAGAGCATCGGCGCGGCGCCCGCGGTGGGAGTGAGGGGACGCTTCGTACGTGTATCCTCGTAACAACGTGCCGTGATGGCATGCGGGGATTGAGGTCGCATGCCCCTGCTGTGATGACTGGACTGGTCCTAAGCTTTGGCTGACGTGTGGCGGCCGCGGCGCCCACCCCTCTACGCTGTGCCCCACCTGCCCATGTGCTTGGACCACCAGCTGCAGCGCACGCGAGAGCATGCCTCAATGGTACTCCTTGCTGCCGCTGTGGTCGCACATAATCCCTGGCCGACGAGGGCGGCCAGGGCGACGCCGCTGCTCGACTGGGGCTGGTCGCAGAGCTGCTCGTGCTGTCCCAGAAAGCGCTCTCGCCTCTTCTTGGCGTGGGAGGTCGAGCAGACCCACTCACTGCCCCTTTCGATAGCTTGACGCAGTTTGATGAATACAACGCAATGCTGGTGAGCCCAAGCACCATTGCTACGCGACTAGGGCTTAACTCGGGGTGTTCGCTTGTCTGTTATATCGCATCTGAAAGTGCCAGATCGTGGATATTGTGCTGGTGCTCGAGCGCAGCGCTCGCTGCCAGCCAAAGGTCATACGTGCAAAGCAGAACAGCACAAAGGCACAAAAAACGTACTTTCTTCTGGAACAGTGAGGGACAAACAGGGGGGGCAGGTTGGAAGAGTGGGGCGACTCGATTTGAAGGAATGGGAAACAGCAGGGGGCGCAGCAGTGTGCTCGCCAGGTCATCGGGCCCAGGTCAGCAACGTCGGGGACGGCCACCGCCTCTCCGGCACCCATCAATGCGTTGCGGCGGACCCTGTGTGGATGCCGCTGCAGCCTGCCGCTTGAAGGAGTATGGCAAGCCCCCAAAACTGGTACTAGGCAGACTCGAAAGCTGCCAGTGGCGGCTGTGGGATGCCGGCCCGCGTCGCACCAACGGTAATGTTCATGCTGCATTCTGCTCCATCGCGGCCGCCGCCAGACCGCCATACACGCCCGGCTGCGGCAGGCCGGAAGCCAGTGCCAGCATATTTGGGGCCAGAGGGCCGCTGGCACCAGACGAGTGCCCGCAGCCGCCGGCCCCGTCTACCTGCATCGGAGCTGGCCCAAGCGCGCCCCTGCTGTCGGCCCCCTGCACGTCCTTAGCCACCGCAGCCGCGGCCGCTGCAACAGCCGCCGCTGCGGCCGCCTGGGCTGCGCCGCCGCCGTCCCCGTCGTCGTCTCCGCCGCTGCCGCTACCGCAGTCGTCGCCGCTCGTCCCGCCGCCGCCGCTGCTGCTGCCAGACGCGGCACCCTCTGCAGGTGCCGCCTGACGTCCTGCATCTGCCTGGCCTTCGGTCAGCAGCGGGGCGGCGCCCACAGCGACCGGAATAGTGACGTCCAACGGGGCAGAGAAAGGCAGTGGCATCCCCTGCATCCCAGCGAGCGTCGCCTGCAGGCTTGCAGGCAGCGTCGCGCCAGGCCCCGCCCCGACAGGCATCCCAATCGGCACGCCTGCCACCCCCGGCAGCAGCCCCGCCGCCGCGGCCGCTGCCGCCGTCGCCCCCGCAGGCCTGCCGCCGGCCAGGCCCACGCCGGCACCGGCGCCGGCAGCGGCCTGCTGCTGCTGCGCCAGCAGCGCGTGCAGCTGCTGCTGCTGCAGCGCCGCGAGCGCGCCAAAGTCCAGGGGCGTGACTTGGGTGGGGTCCGCCTGCAGCAGCATGGTGCGCGCGGTGTCCCGCAGGTTGCGGACCTCCGCGGCGACGCGGGCGTCGTTGTCTCCACTGGCGCGCTTTTGGGACGCCATCTGCGGGGGACGGGGGCGGGGGCGGTTGACGGGGGGGCCTGCTGCTGGGCAAGAGCGTACAGAGGTTTGCACTGAGGAGACACCCAGCACGCTGCTGGGGAGGCGAGGCGCCTCAAATGCGCGTACGCAGCTGGGTTCGCCGCTTTGCGACTGGCGGACCCCGCCGCCGGCGCCGTGTAAAAAGCATCGCAAGCGCGGCACCGCCGCCGCGCGGCAAGCGCTCCTCGCGCCCTCGCGCCCGTCGCCCGCTCCGCCCCTGCGTGGGCTTGCCGCACCTGCAGCGCCGACACGACCACGGACCACAGCTGCAGCTCCGACAGGCGGTGCAGGTCTGCCACATAGGGGAACTCAGAGCACACGCGTATGCGCTTCACGGCGCGGCGCGCGCCCTGCAGGGGAACGCATGGGGTGAGCGGAAGCGGAGGTGGTGAGCAAGGGCGGTGCAGACAAGGGGCGAGCCGCCCTGGGAAAGTGTGGCTGGCGGCGCCAACGAAAGAAGCCAGTGCACGTGGACTTCCGGTTGAGATTGGCAAAAAGAAACCCACCTGAGCAGCAGCATCCATGCCGTCGTCCTCCTCTGGCGTTGGCGACGTCGCCACTGCAGCAGTGGGGGCCGCCACGGCAGCGGTGGTGGCGAATGCCGCAGCTGCCGCTAGGCCAGCCGCGGGTGGAACGGCCACGGGGGCCGGGGCAGGCGCGAGGGCCGGTGCGGGCCCATCCGTGGCCACGCCCACGGCTGCGCTCACGGGGGCTGCCGAGGATGCAGCTGCGACGCCCCCGCCGCTGCTGCTGGCGGCGCGCTTGCCAGTGTTGGCCAGCAGCTCTTTGGTGAGCTGCTGCGCGGGCGTCGCCGGCGGCGGCGTTTTGGCGCAGTTGCGGCAACCCTCCAGCGTCAGTGGCACCGGCCAGTTCCAGCAGTGGACGCCTGCAGGCGGGGCGGGCAGAGCGGGGGTCGGCGTGGGCGGCTGCGAGCCTCTGCTCATGGCCTGTGGTGACGTACGAGAGGCGGGCCGACGGGGCAGGTCTGCCAGCGGCGGTCGCGCACCAATGACTTGCAGCTTCTCGGTGACCGCCTCCCAGCTGCGCCCCGGCTGGCGGCGCGCGCAGGCCATGGCCTCGTCCTTGGAGATCAGCCGGCCGGTGGCCCAGCTGAACAGCTCTGCGAAGCGGTGCGGGCAACGTCACACGTGTTGGGGTCCCGCAGAGCGGCAACTGGCTTGCGAGACAGCGTTGGCGACGGACCTCATTTGCATGCTGCTGCAGGCCGGGCGAGTACCGGTAAGGCCGTGCTGCACGAAATGCCCAGGTTCCAGCTGCCCACTGCCAACATGTGAGCGAAGGCTACCAACACAGTGATGCAGAACCCAAGCCGTCCAGCCACCCGCGCGCACCGCCCCCCCTCGTGTCCGCCCGCACCGCTGAGGTAGGAGCCCCATCCGTTGGGCAGGCCCCACTCTGGCATGGGCGCCTCCCCGAGGTTGTAGCGCAGGTACTCCTTAATCTGGTCCTCGGACACGCGGTTGCCGCCACCCTGGGGACGCGTAGGAAGAAGGGCACAGGGTCGCAAGGGCGGTCGAGCATTTGACAGCACGCGTGCGAGCTGCCGAAGTGGGTGATCAACAGCGTGCGCATTTCGCAGCGCCCCAGGCGGCCCGGACCCCGAAAATTGAGAGGTGCTCGCCCACAGCATGTGGCTGCGGAGCCGCAACGCGAGCGTGAGAGGCGGGCTCAATCGCGAGGTCCCACCTGGTCCTCCACCAAAACCTGCCGCACGCCATTGTCCGCTGTCAGCAGCTTTGTCAGGATGCGCATCAGCTGCCGCATCTCATCCATCGGCCCCCGCCGCGTCGCGCGGCTCATGCGGTGCTCCGCCTTGCGCAGGCTCGGGTGCTGCCCCTGGCCTTTGCCCTTCTTGCCGCCAGACCGGTGGCCGTGGTGCGGCCGCTGCTGGTGCTCCTCTGGATCCTGCTGCTCCTGCGGCGCGCCGCCAAGCAGGGCCAGCGCAGCGCTGCCGTCGAAGCCCGCGAGCTTGGCCTGCTGCAGGGCGCCGAAGGCGACGCCGCTCGCAGCGACCGCGGCGGCGGCGGCGGCCTCAAACTCCTCAGGCAGCAGCTTCTGCAGGCCGCGGAGCGCCTCGAGCTCGACGTCGCTCAGGCCCTGGAAGACGTCGCCGACGCCGCCGGGCAGCGCGTCTGTGCCCTTGACGGGGTAAGCTGTCGGGATGTCGCCGCCGCCGCCGACAGCACCGCCACCGAGGACCGCGGCGAGCGTGTCGCCGCGGCCGCTGGGGCCGGCGCCGCTGGGGCCGGCGCCAGAGGTCTCGGCGACGATCGCCGCGGCGCGGCCGGCGGGCGGCGTGAAGCGCGCCGCGCTAGCC